TCATTATGCGCTTCTATGACGTCGTACTATGTGAGAGAACGAAATATTACACATATATATATATATATATATATATATATATATATATATATATATATATATATATATATATATTATATAGTTATTATATATATATATATATTATACTTAGAATTATATACATATATATATATATATTATACTTAGAATTACATATACATATACATATACATGCACAAGATACATGTTGAGTTTTTCAGAGTGTGACTTATACATGTCATCATCAGGGTATTAATTTTTTTCCTAAGACAAAATTGTTGTGTACACATGAAAGTTATAATTTTTATGGACATTTCAAAACTCAGTTACTTCCCCTGACTCTTACTTCTTTAAATTTTAATCGTACAGTACATAACCTTTGCGTTTCTCAATTCATATTAATATTAATTGGATATTAATTTACCAAATCATCCTATACGTTTAAATTATTTACTAGTTTCTTAAAGAAGCTATTTATCTACTGTAATTTTTTTTTTATGTAGGAAACTCACAAAGCATATAACTTGTTTCACATTTTGCTAAATTACTTCCCCAACCATTTTAATTTCTAAGATAACGGGATTATCTAGTTTCTATAATTTATGTATCCGTTTATGTCTGGCTGTCGTTAGCTGCCGATTTACGGTCATGACACATTTATAAAAAATATTTTTAAATTTTTGCTTCTGGTCTTACTTTAAATTTAACGTATGTCATATTTGATTAGTTGATCAGAGTAAAACCCACAAACAGTATAACACACCAATTACCTTTTTTTCTTTTAAATCTAAATAAATCGTTCACTCGCCAGAAATTTACAATGGCTTGATGAGATGCATTGATACTCATCGAAACAGGACTGCAATTGTATAATGATTTTGAAATGTTTTTCGGTGTAATATACACAAATATATATATATATATATATATATATATATATATATATATATATATATATATATATATATATAGCATTTATACTTAAATATTTGAATTTATAAAATAAAGTATAAACAATATATATATATATATATATATATATATATATATATATATTTTTTAAGCATTTTACCCCAAGCAAGGCGGGAAGCCACTCGGACGCAAGGGGTTACAGAAAATTTAGAGCAAGATCAGATAGGAGTGATAGAAGAAAGGGTGAGGGTAGTGGATAGATCGAGGCAACTGGAGATGTCGATTGACATTACACTTGAATAGCTGGAGATTATAGCTCACATGGAAACTAGAATAGGGAAGGGAGTTCCACAGGCGAGAGGTGCGAGACATGAAGCTATTAGAGTAGAAGAGACGGCTACATATATATATTGTGTGTATTTATGCAGCATCTTTTCATTCATACACGTTTCATTAAATAATATAAACAAGTGTTGTCTATTAATTTTATGTAAATTTTTTTCGTAACATCTGATAAGTTTAATAACATTATCGTTGAACGAAGAAAGAAATTCACAGTATTGATCCATATTTTTTTATTATAATCTAAGCCTTCGGCTTACTTAAGCCATTATCAAAGATGTCAATTACAACATATTAAACAATATACGGACAAGACAGTGATGATAATGCTTCAAGGATTTTTAGTTTTTTGTCTATTGTTTTCATGTCGAAGTATAATTGTGTTTTCGACAAGTATTTTACGGAATTGTGTGAATTTCATTCAAATGTAGTGTCAAGCGTCGTGAAAGCGAGTTTGTGGTGTGACCAACATAAATATTATTTAATTCGTCGGAGATACAATCTCCCAAAGGGCACTTGAATTTATAAACTATGTTGGTTTTTTGCAAATCGCTAACCGGGGGAGAAGAATCATTGCGAAGAATTAAGTTGGATATACTAGATTTAGTGTATATATATATATATATATATATATATATATATATATATATATATTGCAAAGAGCTATATATTTAGATATAAATCTCCCTTTATTATAGCATGTAGATGTTCATTTATATATTTATTGCTCATAGTATTCAGCATGATTTATTAATTTTTAGTACTTGTTGACTTATTTTCATATGAATACTATGTGATTGCGCACATATATATGCATAACTTCGAAGAGATTCTGCTTTTTGAATTTGCATACTTTTGCATATGGCTATCTGTAAATATCAGTGACCGACTTTTACGCATGCGTCAACACACGATGCGTCTATATTTTTTTCTTCTTACGCTTTGTGTGTTTTGAGCAGAAAAGAAAGACGAACCAACTAATTGAACAATCGAAAGCAAGCAACATTTCAAGTCATTGAAAGACGATCAAAGAACGTTCACGTCGCTATTAAATTACTTTACAAACACATCAACAACTTTGCTATGCGTGTCACCGATTTGTGGCAAAACATCAAAACGAGGCTAAGTCCATTGACAGTTGCCGTCATAACTGAGGCATTCATATGCGTATTCAGGAACCACAGTTGCTAAAAGGCTGGGTGACGGAATCAACACTCAGGAAATCGGT